GTTTGAGTCCACTTACTATGTTTTTATTATCTGTGCTTATATTGTTACTTATTTCAAGAACGGTATCTAGTTTTTTTGAAATTTCTTCCTTCCTAACATCTATAGTAGAAGTAGCAAATGTGAATTGTTTTTAAGCACTATTGGTGTACATAACTTCTATTCTATTATCAATAAATTTGACTTTATGAATATATTAATCAAAATTATAAAGAGAGGTAAGATATAATGATTGTATTAAATCATTATCAACTAAAAAAAAATTAGAATTATTTATTATTAAATTTAAATATTAAGCAAAAATCAAACTCGACATATGCAAAAGAAAAATAAGTATTTATTCATAATTAAGTGACAATAGAAAGTAAGAGATAGAAGTAAGAGATAAAGGGTTAAAAGAAAAAATAAAAAAGAAGCTATATTTATGGATGTCATAATTATGTATTATACATAATTGCTATCTACCCATTATATCAATTACATATTACGTCATGTCAGTTCAATTTTAATTTTCTAAATAGTTCAATTTAAATGAAATTAATAATTATATAACAATTTATATGAATTGGTACATATCTGATTTGAATTATATTGGATTTAATCTGAATCCAAATTGAATCTGATCGGATTTGATCCAAATCTGATTTGAATTCGATAATTTTGTAAATTTAAAATTTGATTCAATCCGAATCTGATTGGATTAAATATTTTGAAATTTGATCCGATCTGATTTATATCCAATTCATAGATCAATCAGATTCGGATCAAAATTGTGAACACTAACTATCATATATATAAATAAATAAAAATTCTATTAAATTTTTAATAAAAAATATTGAAATTTCAATTTATGATCATTATAACTAATTAAATTATTTCTTATTTTATTATATAATACATTTTGAAGTTGATTAATTTTTATTAAACCAAATTCATAAAGTAAAAAATTATTTAATAAAGCAAATGATATATTTGTAATATTTATTGAAATATCAATAAATATTGTAACTATGTGACATATTCTATTAATAAAAGTTATTATAAAAAGTTTTGTTTGATAATAATCATAAAAAGATTTTTGGATTTTTTTGAAAATATTGATTTTATATTATTTTTATAATTTTTTTCTAAATTTCTTATATTTGAATATAATTTAAAATAACTTGTTATATATTCAAAATATGATAAAATATTAAAGTTTTTATTAAAAGTTTAAATTTTATGGCTAAATATTCAGACATAATCTTTTAAACATCGGGCAGGGATATTCTCCTTAAATAGATAGGCGGTCGCTGTTTTAGTATTCGTCTACTGTCAAATGAAGGATTTAAGATTTTTGAAGACTTACAGGTCAGGCCCAATTGTCCAGACGATATGCTTGTCATCAGCTACCCTAGTATGTATATTGATATACCTGCAATCATCATTACCCAATGGAAAAGTGACGAGGACCGAACAAGCGAATGAATTATCAATGACTGGCACATTGCAAATTGTGGCCAGGTTGTATTGAGTTGAATCCTGGCGTGAAATTTCGCAGATGAGAAGTTAAATGTGTATTTTTTTTTTGACTATCAAGAATCCATGATATATGTACCTTCTCTTTCGCAATATATCCATAATACTCCGAAGCAATCTCTGATATCCTATAGTTGCCATATATTGTATCCTCAGGGTTTGAGAATTCAAATAAATTTTCATTCGATCCAAAAATAATTATTTGAATGTTTTGTGGCTTTCTTGTGACTAGAAAAATAGATAGATTTTAGTAAATTTGAAATAGCACATCGATTACAGAAACTTTTTATCAACAAATCTCACCCGCACTTGAGCATAAATTTACAATTCCTTCCAAATTTATCACCAATTTTTGTTGACCCGAAATTCCGCGAATCCCTTCAAAATTAGGAATTTTAGACCACTAATTGAAAGAAAAAAAATGAAGACAAAATATATAAATATTATATTATTGATCGGATAATCTGTAGCCTCTAAACCGACCTTGATGTGCGTTCCCTTCCGCCTGTTGAAGAAAAATGGAGGCAAATTAATGGGAACGCTTAAGATCCCCAACGCGAATTCGCGGACAGATGACAATGCCTCCTGTGTGACACAAGACATTTAGACGAGATTTCAGTAAACAATGCATCAATATAATGTAACTTGCCATTAAAGGTTTTTGGAAAAAGGTTTCAATATCTCTCAAAATATGAATGCAGCGACCACGCAAAATAAAATGCACTTTATTTTTTCTTTGGTCGATTTCTTTTAATTGTCGCGAGTTACTTGAAAACCCGTCATTCGTCGCAAGCCGAATCAGTGGAAGTAATAAAGAATCTACGGGCCTATTCCTTAAAAAAAAAAAGTGTAAGGTTACGAAATGCGGGTATAGATGGGTTAATAAAAGAAAGACCTCAATCACCTACCGGTCGCGCTCTTCGATGAGAAGGCATTGAACGGCATATGCTAAAACAAGACAACAAATTTGAAATGTTTTTTTTTTTGTTAAAAAACAATATCTTCTCAATTGAGAAAAATTTTATCAAACGTGAAACGGAGTTTTTTTTCAGAAAGGATATGATTCTAAGATAGCCAAACTCTCCTCGTCTATGTCAAAGAATGAATGGGTCACGAAATTATGCAAATTCGCCGTTCTTAAGAGTTCATCGTGCATGGATTTCTATGCACAGTGGACAAAAATTAAATATAACCAATCCCGCATTTATGAGATTATATATTCAAAAGAATTTCCAATATACCATTGAAACGGTCAAACTTGATCTATCATCTGTTGACTTTATTAATTCTTCCAAAAAAAGTTTCATTGTACACAAAAAGTTTGCGCGGAGTTGGCAAAACCATCTCGCAAAGAATCTTTGATTGCAGGTATCTGCCAACGACATGAAGCCCTGAAACACGCGGAAAAAATTAACGATATTTTTTAGGTAAAAAAGGAAAAAAAAGAAAAGTCAATTAACTAAAACTCACATTCAATTCAGCATCGCATAAACTATGATGACGTATTGAAACATCTATTAAATCGAAAATATCAAACTGTTGCCCAGTTTGCGCTGTTAGCGTTCCATTATTCGACATAGCATTTTGAATGTAATTCGCGATTCTTCCCTCTTCAGCTGTCCCAACGTTACTTAGAGCTCTTAACCAATATCGTGACGCGTCCACATCGACCTATGAAAGGAAGAGAAATCGTCTATCCACGGATTCATCATCAGACCATTCATAGCGCCAGATAGTGAAATACCTCTGTGACAAACAATTGCATGATGTTTGCCATAATATTACAACATCCCGATTTTCCAGCTTCAATTCCTATTAGGTAAATATTCCATTGATTATTTCTGATTTTTTTCTCGTCATATTTATCTGAGTATTGACCAATGTCTTTGATTAGTTGAAGAAACATTTCTTTGAAGTCTTCGGATATAACCGCTCCGCTTGGAAGCGCCTTCAGAACAGTTTTTGCTAGAATAGACTGAACCCGCATAGAAGTTGAAGCTTGCCATCAATATACCGACAAAATGAGCAGGAACGAATAATGAAGAGACCGATGCTTACAAATGATTTCGGCATTTGCAGAAGCTCTCTCAACCTTAAAATATTCATTATGCTATCGTTCGAGGTCTGTATTATGGTCCCCCTGAGCTCACTGGTCATGAGAAGAAACTTTGAAACTTCCGCAAAAATTTCATCTAAATGGAAATTCGGGTCAGCCTTAGTGAATTTGATAGTGAACTTAAGCAATGTTTTCTCGAGTTCAAACCAAACTACGCACCGTTTTTTGTTTTCGAATACGCATGCAACAATTCAATAATCGAGGTGGATGCATAAGTGGCAATTTGCCCATAGGATAAACCGATAGAGAATATGCATTTAAGGTATTCTTTGATCTAAGTGATAATCGAAATAAGCAATACATATATATTGGTCGGATAATCAAATGACATTAGATCTTCGCTCACCGTCGTCTTATACATATCCTGATTTATTGAATCCGTGACAGAGTCATCCAAGAGTGTGCGTATTATATTTAATATCAATTTTGGGATCTTAGTAACAAGGCCATCCAGATAGGTTTCTATAAACAGGGAAGATTTTTTTTCAGTCAATGTTATGTTATCTATAACACTACGATTACGCGAATGAAAATTGAATCAAGAGAAATCCAATCTCACAACAAGCGAAAATTTATTTTACCCCATTCGCTACCAACCGAATTGTATGACGTCGATTTTATTCGTTGGGCCTCAATGATTATTTCGACAAAAAATTTTACGGTGACTACGGTCACCTCACCGGAATGCGATCGAGCCATGTTCATGAAATTTTGGATGTCGTGAAGAGCTCCTATCTTCACATCGTGATCATGACCCTTCGAGACAAGATCAACAAGCAGCTTTCCGTGTTTAACCAGAAAGGTCAGGATACGAAGTATTTTTATTTTGACTGTATGTTCCGGTGTACTATTTGCCAAATTTATTAATTTCTATATTTTTAAAATGTAAATTAGAAAGGAATACTTTGAAGTGGTCGTTCACATTCGTACAATCATCTACTCACCAGTGCTTGTGAAGTTTCAAAAATAGCGTTTCCATGAGCCAATTTCATGATATCTATTAATGCAATAATCCTCACGTGCTCTTGTGTGCTGTTGATTATGTATTTTATCAATAGATCGATCTGCATTCATATATTGCATTAAGGATCAATAAGTTAATCGCGGAAAAGTTGCATAATAGTAAGTTGAAATAACCTGATCGGATCTGTCGATAGGTGCACGGCGAGACAAAAATGTCAATGTTTTCAAGATGGTTAGCCGAACCTTCTCTTCAGAGCATCTTTCCAGTAATTCTAAACAGAAGTATCTCGTCTAGTTTGCGACAAGTAACACTATAAGGGAGAGATGTCGACTCAGAGGTACAATTAAATCATTTCTCGAATGTACCTTATGCGTCAATTTGATGTCCCAATGCATGTGTCGCAGCATTCGAATCAGTTTCAATTTGAATACCAAGGGGATGCCGTCAGCTTGATTTAAATGAAAATGAAAAAGTTTTTTTTTTTAGATTCGACTGAGTATCGCGTGGTGCACCTTCAAGACAAACCTTGCAACTTTGTGGATAATTTGTCGCACATAAGAACTGAAAATTTTTCGGATCTTGAGCATATTTTATCTGCCGCATAGACGGCCGCGTTGGCCTCTATGTCTATTGCAGAATCTAGACGTTGAAGTATCCTATGAAGGTGAAATTGCGATGTTAAAGCATTCCGTCGCGAAAGTTCTAGTCCTGATAAAATTTTGCTTACCCGTGTTGAATATCGATACGATCTGTCAATAAAATCGACATACAACCGAGAGACCTAAGCGACGTTATTCCTCGATGAATTAATTTTCAAAGATCCAATTTCAAAGGCAATTCAAACCTTAGAGCGAGTGAGCGAGCCTCGGGATCGGTATTTTGATTTTCCAAAAGAAAAAATATATTCTTAACGATTTGTTCGAAAGATGAGTAGTTGTTTCGCGTAAAACATCTCTCCGACTTTTTGAAGACTTCAAAGATGCATCGTCTAATTCGGTTATTCTCACTGAGAAAGAATTTGCCGTTAAAATGTCGTTACATGAAGTAACAATGTTGTTAACAAGGTTAAAAGCTTATTACCAATTCTTAAAACGCTCGGCAAGAAAGGTTAACGCAATATGAATGATATCCGGATCGGGATACTCGTCAAATATCCGGGGAACCTCTGAGAATTCGGATAATTGTTCCTCTAATGTTTCCGCTCTGCGGAGCTTGTTAATGAATGCTCTTCTTCTCTGCCTCGGATTATTTCCCAGTCTTGTTAAGGCCTCAGCATTGGCATCACCATTCCAGTGTATGGAGTCGGTAGAGTAGATCGCGTTAGCTGACATTTAACAATTCTGATGATGATGAAGATCGCCCACAATATTATATACCACGCAACCACGCACGTGTGCACGTACATTTCGAAAATTCTTTACAATTTCCTTTTAAATCCGTGAATTCGCAATATGCTTTTTGAAACAAAAGATGTTATCAAACACCAAGCCCACGCAACCCTATAATTAATTCTCTTTCTTGAACACCTCTTGACACATTATCCTTAATTGTACTTTTAAATTATGATAATTAATTAAATATTTCAACAAAGTTTGCTAATTTAAGGCATCTGGATCACGAGACATTATAGCAGTGACTTTTTCCGGGCAATCTCCAGAACGATCAATATCACATCTCCGCAATTATCAGTCAGAAAGTTTTTCAAACGTTGTCATTGAAAACATGCGTAGTTATCAATTCACATCAATCTTCTATCGTTGTTCTTGGTTGATATACTTATTATAATTTTCATAGTTAAAAAAAAAGGTGTTCTCTACGATTTGTCGCTTTTTCTTTAAAAACAAATTTCTTATTCTTTACATACATACAAAATGGAAATGCCTAATACTTATGGTCTGATCACCATACCTCCTAGTATAAACTTCTTCTGTATTTATAACCCTACCTTTGGTCCCACCGAAGAAACTCAGAAAGACCAATTGCTTTATTATGCAGCCAAGAAGACTGTTCCAATGGACACTAAAATGCGTGATATAGGCTTGGCTCAGGGTTTGATAAACTTTACAAGGTTAGCTTATTCGATGTTTAAAGGTTTGTGCATAGTTGGTAATATAACACATAAGCCAAGTACTGTAGTTTAGGTGCATCTTTTTTGGAAGCATTATCAAATCTACGAAAAAGATAACGAGTTTGTATTACCATACCGAATTACTTAAGTCGTTATTTCATCTTAGCATATTCTCGCCCTCGAAACCTTGTGAAAACGTCCACACACAAAAAAAACGGCTTGTATTTTTTCAACCTGAGCCTGATTATTGGATACATGTTGTAAGAAATC